AAAGTGAACATTGCGTTCTATAAATTAAGTGACCTTATGCTTATTTGCATACTAAATTTGTGCAGGTTGGATTGCGTTGACATCATTTGGGTATGTTTGTCTAAGTGTGTGTTTATATATTTAAGTGTTTTGACCTCTTTTGTTGTATATTTGCATCTGAAATCAAAAAAAGCTATCCGTTGAAGCTAAGTAGTAGAAATTTTAGGAGCATAGTTCTTGGCTTTGTAAGTTACAGCAATCTAAAATCAATATTCTTGCTCGTTTTGGTTCTGTCTATGACTTTTCCATCGAATTTCATGCTGGTTTTTCAGCTTAAGAACGAGTGAAATCATAAAGACTTTTGACCTTACCAGTCAGTGCAGTTTAAAAAGTCGCACGTTTCCCAAGTTCATTATCTGAAGTTTTATTTCGGACACAATAGTTTGAGGTCTTAAGGCTTTAGTTCATTGCGCTAACCATCTTCAGTGTTTTTCAAATCAATTTTTCAGCCTCATGTCTTCCTCACCTATGACTTTACGTCCGAATACGGTTTGGAGTGTTTTAGGAACAGATTGGGCTTTAAACCAGAAATCTTTAATTTTTGCGAGTTGGGTAGGCTAAGGGATTATGACAATTTCCAATTATACTGATGCATCCGTCTAGTGAAAGTTCATAATAGCTCGTCGCAAAAATACATTTCAAGTTGGGCCATATGCTGTACTATATATTCTCCATCATCGCGGCAAAATTAATTCCTCAAAACTTACATTTTTCAAAAAATTGCATTCAAATTCAGTGGTACCACTTCGGATCTTTGCAGGCTGCTTCAACGTTAACACTACCGCGTAAGAAGCTTTCGTTGACATCTTCAGGAGGAATATCAGGCAAGTGTAATGGACATGATTTGGCGTCTAGTGACTGCAGAAGAGTTCGTGCCTGTAGAGTTATCGTAACTTCCTAATATGTTCGACTGAATATCCTGCAGTTAAGAGTATGAATTGGCCAAATTTTGCCTTCAGTGTGCGCATCCATGAAGTTTTCACAACTGATGTTCCTAGGAATAGGAATAGTTTTTTCCCGATGAGTGTAATGGTAGCTCGTCAGCGTATTCATTCTGGCATTCCGCG